CATTCAAATGTTCCTTAACTGTAGGAACAAAATGACCGAAGTTCCTTAACACAAGCGGTACATAACGTTCTCATATTACAAGTACCTAACATCGAAACAAACAGTTCCTTATATTAAAATATAAATACAAAAGTACTTTGTTTTCAAAATACCGTTGCCTTTGTGGCTTGCTTAATGGTGGAAAACACTGCCAGGCGAATTGGTCAAATGACCCCGTCGACAATTTCGTACATAAACACACAACATAGGGCAACAACTGAATAAAGGAAAAGACAATTGAGAACAGAATATAAGGAAATGCTAATAAGGATAAGGATAAAGATAAGGAAGATAAAGATATGGGTAAAGATAAAGATTAAGATAAAGATAAAGATAAAGATAAGGAAGATAAAGATAAGAGGATAAAGATAAAGATAAGGATAAGGAAGATAATGATAAAAATAAAGATAAAGAAGATGAAGATAAGGAAGATAAAGATAAGGATAAAGAAGATAAAGATAAGGAAGATAAAGATAAGGATAAGGATAAAGATAAGGATAAAGATAAAGAATATAAAGATAAAGATAAGGATAAAGATAAGGAAGATAAAGATAAGGAAGATAAAGAAGATAAAGATACAGAATAATGCTGGATAGATGCATTAATGACACGGTGGTCGGTTGCTTGGTAATTGGCCTCCGTTTGGAAAGCACAGCAGGCATTCGAACTTAGTCTTCTAGCTTTGTCTTATCCGCTCGGTTTGAAATACTGAACATTGAACGGGCATATATTTGTTTTTATTTTATTTTTTTAATATCTTTTTACTGCAATATATAGACATGAGTCGCCTTCTTATCATTACACAAAAAAATTGCACGCTATTGTTAATATAAGAGAGAAATACGGTTTTTCTTTAGCCTATACTGCGAACCATGTTTGGTATTTACAGCGGTACGCGTTTGACTAAATCTTACTGTGGAGGGTCCCCTAATTACTTCAATAATTATATCTACAATATCCCCTTGAAACCCCCCCTTATATTTCATGATACGACAAAACAATCGAAGAAGAAAGGCAAATCCACGCGAGTTTCTTAAAAATTCCTTAAATTTGTGTTCTAAATTGT